TTCTTGATATGTAAACGCTATTCGCATCCCCTTGGAACGTTCCCATAGATGCTACCCTCGCGGCACAGATTTCTTTTCCGGCGAATATTTCTTTCTCCAACCCCATAACACAGTCCGGTCACGAATTCCACTATCTTACATATTTATGCAGCCAAGAAAATGAGACAATACCGTGAAACATCGTAGAACGTAACTGACGTTCACAAAGATCATTCGATACTAAAAGAAACAATCTCTTTCATATTTACGTACAATCGAGCGTGTTTCCAGTCGCTCTCGTCCAGTGTTATTATCAAATTCGTTTAAGCTTCTGAGGCACGCATACCTCTCTGTTCTTTCGTAAACCATTTTCCCCTGGATAACGATTTTATGGTTTGCCAACTGTAGAAAAATACACACACAGAGAGAGAGAGGCGTACCGTGAAGCACAATAACGATGTAGCTGCGTATTGTATACCTTTTGACCGTACTTACGCAGCCGTGAAACTCGATTTCATCGGGCCGGTCGGAAGGGAAAGCCCGTTGAAAGACGAATATATTCGAGTATTTCGAACTGCGCGCCAATTTTCTTTGAACAACGGCCGCGTCTCGCTCGCGCGCAGACAATGCAAAACCGGATTCAATAAAACCGCAACAATAAGGGTGAAAACGGCGGCGCGGATCCGGCTGGCAGGGACGTGGCGAGGTATAGGGGGTAGGAGAGGATGGTGGTTATAGCGGCGCGAGAATGGGAAAGCGGAGGGTAATTTGAATGAAGAGACAAGAGACAATGCGTGGGCGAAGCCCAGAACAGAGGAGAGGAGGCGGCGAAGGTGGGTGAAAACAACCGCGGAATCAAATTAGAGGCGATGGGATGGGCCAGGTGGGGAACTACCCGGAGAGGAAGGGGCGCTGGCTACGACTCGAGAGAAGCTTCGGGTAATTATATTTACAAGTGGCAGAATCTCGAAAACAAAGGAGCTCAAGATTGCTCGATTCATTCGACAACTCCCCAAAGGAAGTCCTCCTTTTTTTCTTTTTCTATTGCCTTTTCGGGAAAGATCATTGCCGATTAGTGTCTGTAATGGTCCCGTGTTTTAAATATTGTCGAGATATTCTACAACTCTGTTTAGGATCGAGACGAATCGAGAACTTGAGTTTAATATATAAAGTTGTGTAACACGACTGAAAAAAGTCTTTCCAATGGAGGAGGTAACGAGTTCTTTTGCGGTGTGATTTTTCAAAGGTTTCTGCTGTCGTATAGCGAAACCTTTCAATTCCCTCGCTCAAAGTTTATCGACGTGCTTTAATTTTTCCTTTGCAATCGTAAGTACCGTACAAGAGTACTTTAAATTTATTTATCAATCATTTTTCTAAAAGATATAATGTTTAATAGATATGTACAGTTCTATTTTGAACAATCAAATGTGTATCGTTCACTTTCAGTCGATCTTTCATCCCCTATCGGCTTTACGTTTCGTTCTCAAGGATCGTTTTCCTCTTTTCATCCCCTTCCACTGCTCGAGGGTCCATCCTTTTCTGATGGAGAGAAATTGAAATATTTCAAATATCACTAGGAGAAAAGTATTCGTAAAAGAGAAACGAACGAAAACCTACGAATCTCTTCGAACATTAACTTTTCATCGCGCTCTGCAACTAAATGAAAAATTCACCTTTTTTTGTCACTTGATTTCACCCTTGATAACATCGACCCTTCCAGTATACTTTCATATATTCTCTTTTACTGGACAAAGTATTATGAGAACATAGTTCACATATTTTCACCTGACCCATACAGGTGTACCGTCGTTTGATTTTTCGTACAGTGTCGTATTCTTCTTTCGTTTACATTCGTTTAGAAATACTGCAAATATTTATAAAGCAAACGTTTATATAAAAATTGAATATTGTAAAATTCCACAATGGTGGTCGTTATTATGTGCAGGGACATTTGGCGCAGCCCTACACCCCTTGCTTTATAGAATTTTTGCGTGAAATGGCCTTTTTTTTTTAATTGATGTAATTCAGACCGGCCAGCTGCGCAGGGCTGCGATGCTCGTAAAACTTTTCGTCGCCTTTCGCGCCGCTTGAATTCAAAGTTTTCAAAGTTTCCTTCCGCCTCTTCATTTTTCCTTTTTTATTTTCATCGTAAACGATGCCTTTGGGAAAGGTACCGTACTCGAAGTTTGAAGGAAAATAAAAATAAAAACTTGCCTTCTGTAAACGATGTTAAACTGAAAGATTCCGATACGGCGAAGTCTGGAAAGAATTCAACGAGGATAATCCGTGCAACGAAAAGCAAAGATTAAACATTATCTTCCGATATCGGGTGAGAGGAGGAAAAAAGCAGCCTTCTCGACACGAACAGGAGATCTTCTTCGCGTGCTCATTTCGGCATAATGAAAAGCTTAGCAGTTGGTTTAACTTGGCCAAGGATTAAGTTTACCTCGTTTCAAGGGTGCCAGAGCAGCCGTGGAATTTCTACCTCTTATTTTTCCGCCTCCTCGCCCCTGTGCTGGTAAAGAGCGCTTGCTAGGTATTTCTTAATTAGCGGCAAGTATCTCGCTTCACAGAAGTTGCTATATTAATTAATATTGCTACAAAAGAGCGTCCGGCTGTCGCGATGGATAAGACGAATTTCTCTCAACGATCTAACATTTAATTCCTTCAATTTTCAATTCTGATTTTCTCCAACACTTCTCAGCTTTATTTTGAATTATCGCAACTATTGTGTTCGTACCATTCGTCGTTCTTCAAAATACATCATTCGGAAATGTTGAAAGATGTATTTTGAAGAACGACGAAGCTCGAGAAGAAAGTTTTTCGAGGCGTAGTAAAACGACGCCGGAAGGCGGCGGGCAGGAGGTAAAAGAAAAGGAACTGAGAACGAGAAAATGGTTATTTGAGCAGCTAGCGTTATACTTCGACAAAGAGTCGGAAAGAATGGGCAACGGGTGTAAGAAAGGGAGAACAGTAGCATTGAAGTGGTCGGTTTCAAGCGGGAAGAAAAATATGTAATATCGCTCGGAGCGTTTTAATAAACCGAGTTGGCCAATCAAAGCGGGAGTTAAGGAGGCTTTCTTGCCTTTTTAACGGCCACTTTTACGCGCGTTTAAATCACACTTCGCGCCACTCCTAGTCGTCCGGAATAATGGGAGCGAAAACTGTGCAAGCTATGATGGCAACGGAAGGAGAGGAAGGAAAAGATGGAAGAGAGAAAAAAATATTCAGGAAAGCGTAGAAATATTTTTATGACTGAACAACTGCGAGATTGAATGAAACCGAGAACGAGGGAAACGTGGTGAACAAAAAAAGAAAAGAAAAATAAAGAAGGGAAAAAGAGAGACACAGGGTTGCGACAACGGGATTCAGAGAGGGGTGAGAAGTTTGCAGAAGGGACAGAGAAAAGAAGGAAAAGACAGAAAAGATTGGTTGCTTCGTAACCGGTGTATGCACGATACGCTTACGATGCCGGGTCAAGAGAATAAACGCACCCCCACAAATACTCTCGCGCACACTGTCGCAGCGATAACGTATACACGGTCCGTTGGACGGACGTAAAAAAATGCGAAAACTTTCGCATTTCGTCCAGCCTCCATTTTTATTCGCGTCGCTTTTTTCACCGGAGGATCGTCGCGTCCGCGTCCGCGTTCCCGTGAACGCCGCGCCGCGCCGGCGAGCAGGGACACGCGGGCTCATCGGCCGGATATTATTTCAGTCGGCGCATATTTCCGCAAATGAATTTTATGAAAACAGTTTTTGCTCTTTTAATTAATCGCTCTTCCGTCGCCGGACCACCCCCATCAACCCTCCGCCCTCCACAAGCTTTTGGCCTTTCTCTCCGTTGGCCCGGCCGGCGCGGCGCCCGCGTGTCCACTCTTTCCGTCATTCCGTCGACTCACGTGGATCACCGGGCCGCACATACAGCTTTTAATAATAATATTGTTTCAAGGATCACGAGAAGCGCGATGCGCTCGTTCTTCCCTTTTAATCACGTTCAACGGATGGAATACGATTTCGACCGGTCATCCCTGCCGGTTACGTTCTCGTGTTTTGCTCCACTATATCGTATCCGTGGAAAAATAGAACGAGTATGGTGAACGTTTATTGTTGTCGCAAGAAAAATATCTTTCATATTTGCAAAACATCTCGAACATTATTAATTGTAATACGTATTATCTTTGCATCGTGCTAAAATATCGTTCTCCTCGTCGAGTTAGAACGCAATCGGCGTTTCAAAACGAGCAAGGTGATGAAATTCAGTCCGGTTAAGTTGTTCGCGGGTTGTCCGTGACCCGAGCGCATTAAATCGGTCTGCGCGATCTGGCAGAAAGTTTCCGCCAGTATTTGCAGCGAGGTAAAGTGGCGCTTGTACCGACATTTTGTACAAACAGGAATAATCGCGGACCAATTAGACGGTCGACGGCAGGGGGTGTTTCATAGTTAGGCGAACGTTCAAGCAGCTAGGTGCGCCACGGATAATCACGGTCATAAATAACATTTATCGGAGGCCCGTGGTCTAATTGCCGATGATTACCGTGGGCCGCACGAGAAAAATTGCCAATTTACATCGAATGCTCGCTCGAATGCTTTCCACCTACCCTTAGTTTACTTACCCCCAGACGTTCGATCGTAGATAAGCGGTTCCTTTTACAAAATCGGACCATGCTTTATTACCGCAACCGTTCTTTTGTCGTTGGAATTCCGTTGCACGCGGTTACTTGGGAAATTACATTCACGGTGACTCGTTAGATACAGAGGTTGATTTTTTAATTAGCGGTTGATAATTTTAGAGAAAGAAATATCACATTTTTAAGAAGGGATATTAACCGATTTATATACGAAAGGGAAAAAGTGTTTACCTATTTTACTATAGCACCAACAAATTTTCAAGTGGATCCTTAGAACTTACCTCCCAGTTTCGATCGGCCATCCTAGACCCTGCTTCTTTTCCGTTTCCGCTTTTTGTTCACTCGGCGAATACACACAGCGAGGGTTCGCGTTCACACCCGAATAGAGTTGGATCTCGTTCTCCTGAATACGCAATGCGATTTATACGAAACGTGGCGTATAAAACACAAAGGACCGCGTATGATTGGTAAATTATTGAGGCATACCGGATTTGTCGGCCAATCACGTAGCTGTCTTAAATAATTCAGAGGAAGCGCGAAGGATGCGAGAAACGTAGGGTAAATCTCGAGAAGAGCACGGGGATGCGAAGATATTACGAAGCGTCGACTTTAAAGTCATACAGATATGTTTTGAAATCAATAAGACAACGTCATTGGAGTCTTTCCGTCGCTTCCCCGTTCCTACAAAAAAAGAAATCAAACAGTCGAGTAACATCGAAACAGTAATTTTATTGTAATTGATGTCCCTATGATAGAACTATCATGCAAAACGTGTCTATGCTAGCGAACGTACACGCTTCCTTACGTATTCCTCGATCGAAACTTTTTCTTTACATGCATCGTGCATACATTTGCGTTCGAGACGAGACAGACGCGATTGTAACCTCAATACATAAGCAGCTTGCATACAATTCTGATGATTCGTTCGTCGATGTTAGTTATTAGATCGTTCCATAAATAACTTATGGATTATTTCGAATTACGTAAAGGAAAAGTGGTTGGTATTCGACGGATAAAAATAAAAATAACTCGTTGATTGATTGAAAAACGGCATTATTTATGGAACGACTGAATATAGATTATATTACCGATGACGTATGATATCCGTATGAGGTTGACTCTACTAATCGTAATCTATACGAATTATTTGATTAGACAATCGGTTAGTAGTCGTACGACACTATACAATTTTTCTTCTCTTTAACCATTACAATTTTTATCTCAGAGACGCTTAGCGTTAGGAACTACGCGTGGTTGTCAAGTATTTATTATACCTAATACAACATTGCCCTTACGAATGAAAGAAAGAATGGAATTTCGACCTAGTAATCGATCTATTAACGCGGAAGAATCCCAGATATTCAGTTCTACCGAAAATTATCGTGTCTGACAATGACATAAGCCTATTACCGTTCGAGAGATTGCGAAACTCTTTCTGTAGCCGTGTCGCCGACAAATCTCTCGTAGTGTATGGCATGGAAAAGGGAATAAAACATTTTCTCCGGTCGCTGCTCGTCTCTGATAGCGCCCGGCCAAGCCGAGAGAAAGAGAGAACTTTCGGCATAACTCAGCCTCGTTATCTGACTCGCAAATAAGGCAACGGAAAAGTTCGTGACATCAATCTGGCCCTCTAGCGAGAGATTCGAAGTTGAAACAATGCTTAAGTCACCCCTTAACGTATGAGCCCCAAGGGGTGGCGAGGCCCTGTTTCGATGCCGAAGACCAGCTACCGATTCGATCTGCCAAGCTCGACCTCGCTCACCAATTTCACCCCGTGGCCATTCCTCGAGTTCTACCTCCGGTAGTCCGTTGGTCCGGTAGTCCGGTAAAGCTAGATTTACCGGCGTTGCCCGCAACGGACAGCAAAGTCGACTACAAGAACGGCCAAACTTTGATCACCCCTGAGCATTCGGTTTACCCGCATTGTTTCCCCGTGTGCTCTAACCTGTTCCCTCTCTCTCCCTCTTTCTCTTCCATCGCCTCTCCTTTCCGTTCTTCAACGTCCGTACATTGATTTTTTACGTTCTAATTTAGCCTGCGAGATTCGAACAATTAAATTTCGTCTAAAACAGCACCAATAGCCCTCGCGCGCTTCGCTCGTACAGCCTTAGGGTGTCGCCTAATGCGACAGAATATGGTTACTTGTCGATACACCTTATCATAAATATGTATTTGGACGCATATCGTATTCACGATAAAGTCGCGCGAGTAAATTGTTCAGTACAGTCTGAGTGAATGCGAGTCGACGATTCACCGACGTTCGTTAAAAATCGTCACGCGATAGGTATCGCCTTAAATGTCTATGATTCCGAAGAAATAGAATCCTTGATAATAATTGTTAACGTGCATCTACGCGTGATTCGATCGTCTTTTTTTTTTTAACGCGTTGACTGCAGTGAAGATTGCAGAATTAAATAAACTAAGAAAATTTTATGTAGGTAATATTATTATTAATAATTTTCATCGTGGCAGTCAACGTGTTAAACTTATTTTTTAACGAACCTCGAGACGCGAAAGCAGATCTTTTTTAAGATTCTCAAGTAACGACTCCGAGAACTGGCTACTAGGATAATGATGATAGAAGACGTCCGTGTTCGTTAAAGAAATTTGGCAACGCGATTCGCGATTCGATCGATACAGTAGGCGTTTACTTCGTTTGTCATTTAGTATCGTAAGGTGTTTGTGCATTGATACCATTTAAATTATTCATGGGGTTCAGGATGTTATGGTTGCTCAAGCTCGGCAGCGCGGGATACCCATTGTGGTTATGGGTTGTCTCTCCGTTCGCTTGTCTCTGCGGGCCTCCCGGTGATATTGTCTGAAAGACAGAAGGATCACCAAGTTATCATTTGTTCACGAATTAAAACGCTTCACGTGCAGTATAAAGTTCTCTCATATTAAATGGCCTAACCGGGGAACAAAGAAATTTGCTTCCAAATATTTCCTGCAATTAAGTCGGCACGATGATTCGTTTAAATCGTCGATAAAATGAAAACTCCGTAAAGATAGAAAGGAAATCGCAGTGTCCATAATTACATTTGCAATCAATCGGCCGAGCAGCGCTTTAATCTGATTCGACCAATTATTCAGGACAGAGACTTAAAGCTCGGGAAAAGGGTAGGCGTTCTTGCAAGCGAAAAGGGGTTGGATGCCACTAACGAATTCGTTTTAGATGCGATATCCTTGTTCTCGTTCCGCCCGGTTCTGCTCCAAAAACAAAAGGCCAGAAGAACCGAACTTGGATCTCAACTCAGCCCAACCAACTCAACTTGGGGCGTTTCCTCTCGATATCCTACCTCTTTCCTTCCCTTTCTTTCGTTTTCTCTTCACCACTTGCCTCAGTCACTTCTATCTGCAAGCCATATTCGCGGGGGAGAAAGAGAGAAAGCGTTCCATGGGAATGGTAAAAGATAGTACGGGGAGCACGAGATGCTGCTAGGATAGGTAAGTGCCGTTGAAAACTTCAAACTTCGTATCTCTAGCTACGTTGTGTTCCCTTCACCATCAGTTTCTCTTAGTTTTGCCGGCAAAAGGTGTTAAATTATACAGGCTTAAAATTCGGCAGACCGTGCGGCTGACGGCACAGTCTGACGGGATCCTCCCTTGTCATGATTTTACCCGGTAACTTGATCATGGCCAACTTTCTCGCGATCAACGAACCTTCTACTATTTTCATGATTTTCTTGATGGAACTTTCGCATCTACAAAAGTGGTCGAACTAGTTGTAGAATATAGAGCGAATCTCTATTAATAATTCTTCTAAAGGTGACATCTCGAAGAGTCTCTGTTCAAGATAGAGACCAAGGGAAGCGAAAAAAGAGATTCACAGGTTGGCGGGGTTAGTAATTAACTCGTAAATAATTACGATAAAAATGACAAAGCGTCGGAAAAGAAATGCTTTATAACCAGGGTAAGGAAGACTTTCCTCTCCGGTAAGGATTTCTAAATCTTCGTTGCCGCAACGAGAACCCTTTTTAACCTTCGCGTACCAACACCGTCCTCTTCTTTCTCTCCTCGATACAACGCCCTTCCGTTTTTATCTCTTTCCTTCTTGTTCCTCCGTTTCCGTCCGCCTCCCTTCAGCCAAGAGGCCGCACGTAATTAAGAAATCTGCGTGGATGGCTGCGGACCGTTGCTGCTACTGGTAGCACCGGTTAAATTAAGTCTATGACTTATTCAAGTTTTATCTACAATTGCCAGAGAAGGAATTACTGTTCCGTGGATTTACTGCCTTCTTTTGTAATCAAATGAGACAGGTCGAGATTTTCTAGAATAAAATTAAAATGTTATCGATAGGATTTTATTGTAGGTGTATATTTTGGTGAAAATTCAAGCGTGATAGACAGACGCGTATCTCTACGGGGCTCGTCCAGGAATAAGACATTAATCGCGTCTCGACGAGAAGGCGAAGGCAGTTTGTAACTGACGGTAAACGGGGAGGTTCGAGGGGGGGTTGTCGGGGATTGTCGGTGGTTGCCGGGAGCTACGAGAATCGCGTGTCATTTGTCCGTTGATCTCCCGTGGCTGGGAACCAGCCAGGTGCAAGCTACTTCCTCCACACTGGCCGCTTTTCTTAAGCGCAAAAATTAGCGCACCCTCTACACACCATTCAACCACACCTCGATTCTCGCCGAGGCACGAGATGAGAATTAGGCGCCTCGTTTATCGTAGTAGGATCATTTAGAACAGAATGACCGTGAACCTCGCTATTTTACCAGGGATTATTATATCGCCAAGGATTCTGCTAATGTGCTTCATCATTTGGGATCTCCCAACAATGTCGACGGTATTTGTGGGATAGACTCTCGTGTTTAACGATCGTTAATTAACGGAAATTAGTTCGTGAAATGTATCAATAAAATTTGAGTTAATCTTTTCGCGATGAATTCAGCTGGTATTCTATTAAATTCGATCGCTGATTACTTTCTTGTCGAGGACAAAGCGTGGCTGCAAGAGTGGTTCCACTTGCAACGAGTAATAATCGTTATAAAAGAGAGTCGAGACCACGTACCGTTCCGTTGTTTCGGAACTAAACTCATAATCTCATATAAGCTCGCAAGCTGAGCCTTCCCATGCGAGCTTTCTCCCTGTGTAGCGTAAAACGGACTAGACGGAAGGTTTGCGTGAAATTCAACCAAATACGGTGCATCTAATAATACCTTAATTAATAAAAACGGCACACGCGTACCGATGCTCGTAACGGGCAAGAATTTCTCTTTGTTATCATTCACGAGCGCGACATGCTTCGGTACAGCTGTGTTTGATAAGAATGACGTATATTCGGAAGTTTAATTTAATTCAAATCGTCCGCGCAGATTTCGCGGAACTTTCGAGGGTCTAATCGTCTGGAAGAAGTGTAGAAGACGTTGTAATACCTTATTCCCCGTACGAATCTCGTACTGCACATTGATCCTCTTAAATTCCCATGTAGTCTCCGTCTTGGCATTAGCATATTATCTTCCGCAACCTCCTTCCTTTCTCCTTGTTCCCACCCCTCTCCTTCAACCCTCTGATTCGCGGAGGACTTTGCAGACACTTGAGAGTTTGTTTTAAAACTCAGATAATCGTTTCAAACTCCCTCCCTTTAGTTCTCTCTCCCTTTCACTCTTTCTCACCCTCGCTTCGAGCTTCGTCTATTTCTCTCTTTCTCTCTCTTGCCCAGTGTTCCGTTCTCTCCCATGGGTCTCAAGGGGAAAATTAGATCAAAATAAGACCTCTCGCCAATTTTTAAACGCGTTACAGTTGTCTCCAAGGAAGGAGAGATTACGCAGTTGAAACGAAGTTTACCGCGATAAAGAAACATTCCAACGATCCGGGAATCGATTAGAAGTTCCGTCAGTCGACAGACGTCTTTCTAAATGCTTCTAAAGACCAGGGTGACAAGTTTGATAGATGGAACGAAGGATCTCTTTTCAAAAGAGACGCGTATTTTTCTTCTTTTATCTAGCGGCGAGAGTCATAGAAACATGGGACACGAGGGTGGTAATTGAATTTATCGAGGGTGATGACCGTCCTCTTTTTTTTTATTCAATTCTTTTCCCTTTTTCACCCCCATCACCGGTTTACCTGAGATCGCTCGGCACGCTCGAGTTATTCGTAAACGGTCCACGGTCGAGCATTATTTACAAGTGCCGACGAGATCCGCCCAAGTTTGGGTAGCACGGCTGAGAAAGATTGGGACAGCTGTCTGTTCTCAGGCAATCAGAAAAACTACCACCTTCTCCTGCTGCTCGGGGCAACTTCGCCATTCCCATAGCCACGGCTTAAGGAGAACGCAAGGGTGGCAGCTGCCACGGACCAGGACGAGCACCCTCTTCGCGGTTTTTAAGAATCTTAACGCCTGCTTCTTTCCCCTTCTGTTCGCTCTTGATTTTCTCAACCCGAGATAGCACGGCCACTTTGCATTTCGTTGCTACGTCTAATTCCCGACGGTGAGCCTGCCATTCCAGGGGTCGAATATCATTTTCTTCCTAATTCCTGTTCATCGTCGTTCTCGTCTAATCCATTCCCACGATCTCCACTGAGTCGAGTGTTCTTTGGAAAATAAAAATACATTTTGAGCAAAAGTATCAAAGTGGCAGCGATTTAAAGCGTCACACCGCATCATTTCCCTGATTTGTTCAGATTACAACGTGTCACGTTACAATCCCGATATCCGTTGCTGACGTATCACGTTACACCGAAAGACTGTCCTGATTCGAAATCTCTAGAATAGAGACACGTAGAGAAGCAGGGTAACGCGGCTCCGCGTTCATTTACGACAATTAACAGGCGAGCATAGATGATGGAACGATTCGCGATCTGACATTATCTGTCGCGTCAAGCTTGCACCGGAGACTAGCTGTCCCGACGATCGTCTTTTCCATTCAGGTGGTAAATGTCAGAGCGACATTCAACGAGGAAATAACACAGGTCCGTGGATTGTCAGGGTCGTCAGACACCTTTGAGCGTTCTCCGCGATCGAAGGTATTCACGCTCCAGGAACGACATGTCAAGAGGGATCCATCAGGCTTAACGTAATAGATGCGCAAACGACATTAGCATGCCACGCCGATTATTGGCATTAGTCTGGCATCCCGTTATTTCGCGCGCACCGGTCATTTATAACCCTCAGCCGTAAACCCTGCGGCGAAATCGATACCACCTGAACGCCTCCGGATCCTCTGAATAACAAAGAACGAACCACCGAGAATGGGAGAAATTACGGGACGAACATACAATCTTTTTTTTCCTTTCATTTTTTATTTTTTATTTTTTTATCAGCTGCTCTTAATGGTTCCGTGGCGTTCGTTTTCCTTCCTCCGTGTACTCCCACCTCGTTGGAATTGTTCTAAACGTCCATTGCGTGTTTAGGAAGGAAAAATCGTCGTACGATCGCCACACTTGCGCCTTACAAACGTGCCACGCGTAATACTTCTTTCGATTCCGTTTCAACGCCGTTATTTCTCGCCTGTCGAGGCGTCGCGTCGCGCTGTTTCCTTTCGAGGGTGTTTTTTTTTTTTTCCGCCTCTACGTGGATTCCGCCAGGTCACATTCGTCACGTTTCCAGTACGCGCGAACTGATATTAATTGAACTAAACACTCACGCAGGTTGGAGAACGTGCGGAAGCGGGGCCGCACGCAGTAGGCTGCCGCGCAAGAACATGAACACTTACGTGGCGTAGAAATAGAGTCGCAAGGGTTAGCAACCCCTGAATTACACGCAGCTAGCTGGCAGGACGGTTAAGGGGAGGAAATTTGCATATTATAAGTAGTACACGGTGCCGGGGCTGATATCATCAGACCGGGGACCTCGTTATTCTGTGCATGCGTACAATTCGAGCGTGTGCCCCGGCAATCTAGGCTCTTCGATCGGTCTTAAAAGTTTGTCTTGAAACTTCTTTAACGACAGTTTTCAGCAATTACACGAATCGTTCGACCAATAGACAGGCATTAAAACAAGTTGCAATTCTTTTATCGTTCAATCTGCATCATTGAATTCTGTTTCTAAACATTGTACTTACGAAAGGGTGTTCTTACAATTTAATTCCTTACCATTTTATAAAGTTGAACGATCAATATAACGCGAGGTACTAAGGTGGGAACAGCAGACGGTAGTTGATCGGTAAATATTGCACTTGGTAAATGATGGTACGTGACGTAAGCATGCAAGAGGACGTAAACATCCTTGCAAGACGGAGGTCGGATTAAGTAGATCGGATCGTCGTTGGGTCAGACAGGGACCAGGTCCTCCGTACAGCACAAGGGCTTAAGATATTGTTCCGAAGCACGGCTGTTGCCTTAAGATAATCAAGAAACTCAAACGGCTTAACGCGACGAGTTCATAATTCCGGCTTGTAAAGAGCTGTCTCCTGTCGTTATCGTGAAACCCTTCGAATACTGTAGACTTTCGTATAACGTGGATTGTTTGTGCAAATACAGCGAACGATCGTCATCGTAATGTTTAAAATTACATGCTAACGATTGAATTTTCAAGCGTTAATTAACGAACAACGTGCTTGAAATACTTGCTCGTCTTTCAGTCGCGATTTGAAAATGCTTCCAGTGACAAGGAGAACGGTGTCCCTTCGTCGCGTAATTCCACTTAAGACGCTGGCAAATCCTTACGTTCAAAGAGTACATTCTTTCGCACGTTCCATCCACGCTGAAGAGGACGGATCGTTACGGTATGCGATGAGGCTTGCTTAACGGGCGAGCTTAATTAATAAGGACACGCGATATCCTAACTCGTAAGACGATGGCGGGCTGGTAAAGCATAGTTGAAGCCTCGAGGGAGTCCTTTGTTGTCGAGAGGGTCAGGACGAGCGACCTGCCACTTTAACCCACCTTAAGGGGTTACGTCTTGAGGAGTTTTCGACCTTCCTGAACATCCGATCGTCGTAATCTTCGGTAGATTCAAAGCGACCTGGTCAATGTTAGGCGATACGCTTGCATGGCCAGCAGAGTGATTTTTGAACAAACAGGGATATCAATTTTTGTATAAAAAAAATAGAAAATCGGTTTACCTGTGGCTGAAGATGGGTCACTTGTCTCTTGATATGCGCCAACGTAGCGGTCGGTGGCGGATGTAGTGCCATGTTTGCGAAAACTAGTCTCTCCTCGTAGTCGTATTCGCACAGGATTTTGTTCTCGCACAGATAAAATTTATCGCCTATGCAGAATCTGTAAACAAAGCAAAGAGAGAATGAATTTTATTAAGCATCGTAGTAATCGGTATGTCTGGCAGTTGAAAAGTGGCTAAAGATTTGAAGAAAGCTGGGCTAAGGGTTGCCGGAGATAGGCGGAGTAGTAAAGCGTGCTAATTCCTTTTAAGACCGTTTTCCGTTCCGTTCCGCCGAGGAAATTGCGAGAAAATAAAAACAAGCAGCGAAACGTTACCGGTCCCGCACCTTGCCGGAGTGTCTTCGAGCTCCTTTAAATGTAAATTTCCACTCGATTCGCAGACGCTACATCGTACCTGGATTACCACCGACTCCTTTTCTGCTCGAACCATCTTTCCCATCTCCTGACTACCAGAATCGAATCTTTAACCACTCGCGAAACGACCTACGAGTAAAATTCTAACGTTTTATTTTTTTAAATCCTACGAAGGCTATAATAATTCGGAATTTTGCGGGGAGGCGCAGAGATAATGCAGTTTAAAATTCAACGTATGAAATCAGCAGGATTTTCCAACGATCCGATGCGGTACAAGCGGCAATATACGCACACACACACACGTACGCGTAGATTTCGAAATGGTGGCAAAGTACGAACGTGCTTGGTTTGCGATATAAGAGAAATAAGGTTGCCGCGAGGGTTATACGCATCGGCCAACTGTCGCCAGTTTGAGGGGCGGCTGTAAAAATCAAAGATTTCGCATTTTTCGTTTTTTATTGCCGGCTTAAAAGTCAATTTTTTCCTTGGAACTGGGAGAGAGAACCCGGGAGGTTCACTCTGCTTGTCCGCATAAAGGACGATACGCCGGAAATGCTAAAGAGCCTTGGAAACGAGGATCATAAGGGTGGCTGGCTTCCAACGAGGACAATAGATCCGAGCGAGATCCACGAGGGACTCGAAAATCGTTTTGTCAGGACACGCGACGACTTGAAATTCTTGTCAGGTGCCTTGAATATCGCTCTCCGAGTGTTATACATACTTCGTATCGAGCGCGATATGACGAGCTCGTTCCCACGATTTCTTCTTGAAATCATAAAAAGGGTGGTATTTGTCCATCTCTGTAATTTAGGAAGTATTTATAACGCAAGGTACAGTTTATGAATAAAATTTGATGTTGTTATTTAAGAAATATATTGTTTGACGATGGACTGTCTGAGGGTATCGCATCGGGACTAAGGAGCAACGCCTTGACTCTATTAACTTCACACTTAGCAGCACCTTAGAAACCCCCGGTGCCGTCGTAAGATCTGATTAGGGGTTCGAGTCTCTGCTAAACGCGTTAGTCTCGACTGTAGAACGTTGAAGGGGGTTGGGTGTACAGCTCCATCAGGTGCTAGAAGGGTGGGACGTCGAAGGCACAGGGGGTGGTGGTGGCGGTTGTCTCTCCATAGTTTGATGCAAATTGAGTAGGAGCAGCAGCAACTACCAAGAATATAGACGCTTTCTGTAGCTCTTCTCTCGCGGTAGGGACTCGGTAGCGATCAAGTACAAAATTTATTCCCTACAGCCTCCTTCGTTGCACCACCTTCCCATCTTCTGGTCTTGACTAACGGCAAAGTGTTGCCGTTTGGGGTTTCCCACCCTCCGGCCTCGACAACTTGCTCTGTTTGCCGACGAATCTCGTAGGCTTCCTCTCGACTTAGCAACGCTCAAAGTCGCGGCGCCTGGAACGGTTAACGGTTTACGAAACAACCCTTTCGCCATTGTCGTTTCCTGATTTTCCTGCGCGTTAATAGCTACCGCCGAAACATCAACCTCTCCCATGCGGCACGATTCTTTCGCGAGCATCACACGAAACGACATCGCCGCCAACGTTTAGGCTGCCATTTAACGTCGCTAATGCCCGAAGCGTTTAACGCTGCACCGACGTAATCTGTATCGCGTATCTAGCCGACAAAATCACAACACCGTTATGCTATGATCTCGCTTTCGTCTCTTTCTCTGTCGCGTTCCTCTTTCCCGCTCTAACGTTCCCTTTTTATGGCTTACGATTCGAGGCTGCCCCCGGGATCGATTTTACTTCGCGCCATGCCACTTATCGTACCCCGTTACGGTGGAGCATTGCTTTTTATGGCGGTCCATGCTAGATGTTCCGATCGCTCCTCCAGTTCTCTCGCTGTTTTCTTTCCCTCCCATCCTCACCCTTTTATACTGTCTGTTTCCCCGTCTTCTTTCCTTCCGTCGTTCCGGAATCGCGGAATTAAAGGAATGGAAAATCGAACGGTGATCACGGCCTCCGCGACGTCAGTTACGAGCCTGAACAGATGCTATCTCAATTCATTTTTGATGACGCTAAATCATCCCTCCTCGGATCGATCCAGTCTTTCCTTTAATAACGCGTTGGGTATTGGAAAGCGTTCTACCTTTGTTCGGTGAACGCGAAGCTTTTACAGCATTGTCTTGTAAATATACTTCTTTTTTTATTATTTTCTAACGGTATTTAAAAAACGACACGCGTACTTTACGACGATTGGTGTTGCTCGTTTCGAATGCTACAAATGCTTTTGCATACTCGTGCAAGTGGCTGGGGAGGTGGTGAAAAAAATCACGTCTACATTTACATAAGCGCCGGTATAAACCACTCGACTGAAATCCCGACATAAAACTCAAACAGGATCCCAACACGGGACAGCGCATCCGTTGAATACAAAATGTCCGTATGTACTCGATGTACTGTCCCTTCGCGAAAAAAAAAAAAGAAAAGAAATGTTTTTATTATTCACCGGCGAGTGACGATGCTAAGATACACCCTCAACGTTTACACCTAAACAAAGTACGTCTCGTGTAGATTGTATAAATTCTGCAAGAAGAAAAAGGAGTTTGTCCTCTTCTGTGACACCGTGTCATATCTGGCCGCTTTATTTCGATAATGGCTGCTTACCTAGCACGTTCTCCTGTTAATTAATTCAGACTGTCAGGGTATCAGGGAACTGTGACGCGCTAATTCGATCAGAAGTGAATTCGCTCGCTTCGGTAGCGAGGGCTCGTCGCCGTCGGTTGGAAAGGGGAACTGCGCTTTGCCTTTGCTTCCAAGACAGATTTACCCCGGTAGACAGTTGACGTCGCTATCTAAATGTCGGTGCAGAGAAGCGTCGGAATGCCACTCGATAATACACAACTCGACGTCTCGAACCACCGCTCATTGTCCGACCCGTACGTATACGTACGGTGACACGGAAATGTTCACGGGCTCTACGTCATGTCACGTGTCCCATCGATGTCGAACCGAGGGCTCAGTTTAGGCTCAAGAATCTGAATAGTGGACCTTTCTCTAATTACATCGACGAGAACAGGAATTTTTTCAAATTAAAAACATCAACGTTCGGTTCGTTTGCTATGCTACTCGGGTGTTCAACTGTAAAGTGCTCGAAGGAAGCATTCGTCTTTCTATTAATTTCTATGCGGCGTGAAATTACGCGCCAGCGACCCCAAAGCTATATTAATAACCCAGATTAGGAAGGAAATTAAGACAGCGATGGGTCGTTGATACCTTTAGGAAGGTGGCTTTGTTGGTTCGCCAAGCGAAGGGGTTGAAGCCGGCCTGGATGAAACTCCGATATTTCTACGCGACACGCTTCGCCTTTCCTTCTTCCTCTTATAATACCGTGTCTTATCGAACAATCGCGACGCATCATTCTTCGTTCCTTCGTAGAAAATTATCTTTATTCTTTCTCTTATATTTTATATACCCTCGAAACGGTTCACCGCTTTATTTATATACCGTTCTTTTTTCGCCCGATATTGTTCGGTGTTATGCTAATGCGAGCTCGCATTAATATGTAACGAGCTACGGCGAAGTAAGAAAAAAAAAAAAAAAAATACAGCGAACACGTTATCGTAAATATGCGAGCGCAGAGTGGTTGGTGATGTTGGAGTTCAATTGGTTGTTCGTATCGCGAATCGATCGACTGCTCGCCCTCGTGGCTGGAGAAAAAGTTCCAAGGCAAAGCGCAATCACATCAAAGATTATTTCCGCCAATAAAACGGAAGTCGAGTTTTGGTCGAGTAGAAGGGGGTTGTACGAATCGTTCTCGGTCGCGGAACAAGACGAGGGCAAGAACCATACTAAGAAAACGAGAGAGGGTGAGCCGAGTAGCAGGGCGAGGGGTAGAGCGAAGCAAAAGATAGAACGGGGGAAGGAACGATGGTAGCGAGAGGTTAACCGACAAGCACGGTAATAAATCTACCGTTTGCCTGGAGCAGGTACTTATCAGTTCTCCAGAATCAGCCGCGACATCGGTGACTGCGAGAAAAGCCTGGCGGGCTCTCATCTCTCGAAATTGACGCTCGACTACCAAGCAAACTCGTCAATCTCCATCTATGAGCCTCGATTTTAGTGTCTCTTTCATTCGGCTGTATTCTAACCGAAGTGCGAATTCCTGCGGGAAGAAACAAATGCGACTTCGAATCGAGGGAAATCGAAGGTTTCTTTTGAAATCTCAGAAATCAAAGGACACGCTTCGACATTTTCAAACAGTTTGCGCGCGATAAACGTTCCGAATGGTGGAGGATCCGCGGCCACGATTCGACGTGGTGCGATTATCTCTCAGTTTCACGGAAGCGTATTGGTTGGATACGCCGGGAATAACCGTATGGATGGTCGTCACGATCGATGCCCATTTCGAAAGGCTAAGCTCCCACTCTGCATAATTGCCAGTTAACGGCAACGAACTATAATACGTTCGCATGAACGCACACACAAGCACCGGATGTACGCTGGCTATCTGGACACTGGCCGGGTTGGGATCGATCGATCTTTTTCTCTTTTACCTCCCTTTTTTGTTCTTTTTTTTGGTTTCACGCGCGGTGACCGAGCAAAACGCGGTGCGGTCCTCGAACCGGTTGAAAATTAACAAAACAGTTTTTCACCCAGGCCAGGCGAGAACTTAACCGATGAATATATCGGGGAGATTCTGCCAGTTATGGCAAGGATAATCGATCGATCCGTTCGTGAGCACGCACTCGTGTTCATCGATGAGCATCGTCGAGAAGTACTCCATAAT